CTCTCTCTCTCTCTCTCTCTCTCTATTTCTCTCTCTCTTTCTCTCTCTCTCTCTCTCTCTCTCTTGCATATTCACGCTGTTCTCATTCTCTCTCTTACACCTCTCTCTAAGTTTGAATATACTCATATTTCTCGTTCTCTCTATATATCGCTATCTCTCTCTTTCTCTTTCGCATATTCTTGCCTTTCTCGTTATCTCTATCTCCCGCTTTCTCTCTTTCTCATATTACTTTCCCGTTCTCTGTCTCACTCTCTTTCTTTCGCATATTTTCGAATTCCCCCTTCTCTATCTCCTTCTCTCTCTCTCTCTCTCTCTCTTGCATATTCATTATTTTCTCTCTATCGCTCTCTATTTCTCATTCTTTCCATCTCTCTTCCTCTCTCTCTCTCTCTCTCTCTCTCTCTCTCTCTCTCTTGAATATTCTCGCCTTACTCTTTCTCTCTCTTGCATCCTTACGTCTTTCTCGTTCTCTCTTTCTTCCTTTCTCACTTTCCTTCTCTCGGTCCCTCACCCTCTCTGCTTGTGATGTCAATTCCTGAGTTGGGTAGTTTATAAGAAGTTATATACTCGGGTTCAGTAAAAGAGACAAGCGACATCACAGTGACGAATTAATGAGGAATAATCAACTGACACGAGTTATCTGCCCTTGGTATGGACAGCGGAATAAGAACAATCTGTCATTGGGGATTGAATAAAAGTTTTCGTTTTAAAATGCCCATTACGTTACTACCCACAGAAGGCCGGATGACGCAACAGCCGAAAGTTTGTGATGAGGAGACTAGACATAGTATATCAGTGTACTCATCATTTTATTTTCATACTAAGATCGTTCAGGCAAATAATATAACAGCATACAGACATATGGGAAGTAATTAAAACTACCATGTCGAAAATTCAATGGGCAATAGATTACTGGCTGTTATTGTGAGAAGACGGGTCAGTATATTAAAATGTAAAGGTTTCAAAGACTTATCATGTGTTTGTTATTAGTTCTATTAATGACTTTGATCAATTTTTGATGATTTTATTACCTTTTTATTGAAGTAAAATATGATTATCTGGTTTTTCCTAATAAAATCAGACGTCTTTCACGCTGACCTGAAAACGTGTAACTAACTACCTAACAAAGGTGAAACGCGTTTAAAATGCTTTGTTTGTCTGATATATATATATATATATATATATATATATATATATATATTTTCATATATTTTCATTGATATATATATATATAAATACTCTACAGCGTAAGAAAAAGTAGTGCTCAATGTAAAGTATGATATATATACATATATTTTCATCATTGATATATATATATATATATATATATATATAAATGCTCTACAGCGTAAGAAAAAGCAGTGCTCAATGTAAAAGTAACAGAGCTAATTAATATATATATATATATATATATATATATATATATATATATATATATATATATATACTCATTGAAGATCAAATGACAAGATGATTTGCGAAACGATTTTACGAGCCGTCCCACTTCGATAGACAAACGTACACATATATACCAGATTTTATTTTAAATATCAAATATATATCAGAAGTTGCAAACATGTATTGATCTCAATGGTGCACATGCGTCTGTTTATATATTGTCTGCTTTCTCAATCTTTCACAGTGCACGTGAGTTTGTATAAAAATAGTCCACATATACAAACACATATATACAAAAATAGATAAATACTCTTGGGCGTAAGAAAAAGCAGTGCTCAATGTAAAGGAACAGTGAAATTAATGCTAATATATATATATATATATATATATATATATATATATATATATATATATATATATATTTATATTATATATATATATGGAGTTTAATGGCGAAGCAATTGTCAAGTTTTATATATATATATATATATATATATATATATATATATTAAGCAATATACATAATAGTTTACATTACTTGCACAACATGGAGTTTAATGGCGAAGCAATTGTCAAGTTTTATATATATATATATATATATATATATATATATATATATATATATATATATATAATATATATATATTTAAATTACTTGCACAACATGGAAATGGCGAAGCAATTGTCAAGTTTTATATATATATATATATATATATATATATATAAATAAAGAAAGAACAGTAAGATATATAATCCGGTGTTCTTATAGATATTTTTATTTAATTTTGTAATTAAATTAAAGACATTAGTTCCATTTCATCCTCAAGCGAATTTTGAAAAGTAAACACCCAGACACCCCTTGTCTAGTGGAAGTGGTTTCATCTGTAACCTTGGAAACGGGAATTATAATTTTAGCTGTGTCTTTAAAACCCAGTAATTTTAAAAGTTACTTCAAAATTCGCTTGAGGATGAAATGGAACTAATGTCTTTAATTTAATTACAAAATTAAATTCGGGGCTTTTAGCTTCCATTTTTGAAACATGGTTAGAACTGTGTAGCGAAAAAACATATTTTAAATCAATTAATTTATAATATATATATATATATATATATATATATATATATATATATTCGGATGATTTCCTAATGTGAAATACCATGTTTCAGAAACTAATAACTTCAGATTTAATTATAGAATTAAATTAAATTCCCTAGTACTGTTTCATTTTCAAGCGAATTTTGGAAGTTTGAAAATGAAATAGTACTAGGGATTTTAATTTAATTCTATAATTAAATCTGAAATTTTTAGTTTGTGTTTTTGAAAGATCGTAATTCATGTGTAGCGATGGAACCATACATATTTTTAAATTAGTAAATTTATAATATTTATGCTCTGCGGAATTGTATTGAGCACTGTTTTTAAAAAATAAAATTTATAGACCAGACCAGAAACACGTGTCGTGAAATTATGTAAAACAAAGTATAATATTTTTTCTCAATAAATCCACATTACAACCAAAAACGTTTGCGGCACCCCTCTTCTTTTTAATATACATACTTTTCTCTCGTTGGAACCACTACAACATATTTCTTATATATATATATATATATATACACACACAGACAGTGGGGTGAAATAAATATTTGTACTCTTGAAAAATTGTATTTTTATAAATGTAAAAGCCTTAAATAAAACAAATCTCGTCACATTTTATGTATAAAGACACATACTATTAAAAATAATAATAAACTTAATTAATTCTTATTCTAACAGAAATTAATGCATTTTTTTTATTCTAACTGGTGAAAAAAGTATTCGTACAAATCAATTATTAGAATAAAATAATCAATTAATTATGAAAAAAGTATATTCTAGAATGTTCCAGTAATGTTATCAGTAATTATAGTTAACGCTATTAGCCATTATCAGAGCATTCTGCAATTTCTAGTCTTACGAGAAGGTTCTAATAATGCCTAAAGGTAAATATTAGACTATTTCACAATAACAACACATTTTGTCTCTTTGAAAAGATGGGAACAATTACAGAACGATTTCTAGCAACCTGAATATTCCTTTTACTACAATTGCTTCGTTCATTGCAAGGTTTAAAACTCGTAACAGCGTCGAAAACCAAAGACGAACAGGTGCTCCGAGGAAGATTTCTCTAAGATAAGCAAGGATATTAGGACGCCAGATCCAACAAAATCCACAGGTTACCCGAGAAGAGCTGCAGGAACATCTGCGTACATTAGGGATTAAAGTAACCAAGCGTACAATAAGTAATGAACTACACAAAAACAGTCTGAAATCACGCATCCCAAGGAAGACTCCACTCTTCTTAAAACGACACAGAGATGCTAGGCTAAAATTCGTTAGAGAGCATAAGGATAAAGAATATTCGTTTTCGGGAAAAGTACTTTGGACAGATGAAACTAAAATAGAGTTGTTTGGTCATAATTATCGAAATCATGTGTGGAGGAAGGACGGTGAAGCCTACTTACCAAAAAACACGTTGCCAACTGTAAAGTTTGATGGTGGCAGTATCATCATCTGGGGCTGTTTTCTGCAAAAGGTGTTGGCAGAATATCAATAATAGATGGCAAGATGAATGAAAAATCCTGCAAGACAATTTAATGCGTTCTGCTGAGAGACTTCGGCTACCTCCTGATTGAGTTTTCCAACTAGATAATGATCCTAAGCATACCGCTAGATCTACAAGGAAATGGTTAACTGAAAGTAACGTTGATGTCTTGCAATGGCCAAGTCAGTCCCCAGACTTGAACCCAATCGAGAATTTATGGCGATATTTGAAAATTCAAATTGGGAAAAAAGCACCAACAAATATCAAGAATTTGAAGACAATATACCAAGAAGAATGGGACAAAATACCATTCAATGTGTACAAATCATTAGTTCAGACGTACAGGAATAGACTGGTAGCTGTTGAACTCAATAAAGGATATTCCACAAAGTATTAAATTAAGTTAATTTGCTTTTTTTGTTTTGTACGAATACTTTTTTCATCAGTTAAAATGAAAAAAATGCATTAATTTCTGTTAGAAGAAGAATTAATTAAGTTTATTACTATTTTTTAATAAAATGTATCTTTACACATAAAATGTATTAAAATTTGTTTTAGTTAAGGCTTTTACATTTATAAAAATACAATTTTTCATGTTTACGAATATTTATTTCCCCCGCTGTATATATATATATATATATATATATAAAGTTCATATATATATATGTGTGTGTGTGTGTGTGTGTGTGTGTGTGTAAAATTTATGTGTTGTTTGTTGCGTTTGTGTGAGTGCATGTATGCGTCTTAATTAAAAATAGTCTTTATATGTACGCCCACATATATGTCCATTAACTCTTTATAAAGTAACAATTGGTTTACCATTTTGGATCCCTTTTCTTTTCTCAAGCTTTGATGTACACATTCAAAAGATGCATAAAATATTTCATCGACACGCATAGATTATAAGCCGCCTCCTTTTTTTTATTCTCTATAAATGATTTCCATCTTTTCCTTCCTTCCTTCTTTCCTGCCTCGCCCCCACCTCTAACACCTTTCTCATATATTTCTTATACATTATCTATGTTTGCAACATTTTCAATAAGATATTTCTATCACTTTTATTTTTGTCACTTTCTCACGCCGATTTCTGATACATTTTTTGCTTTCGTTTTTTTTTCTTTTCAATCAAAGAAACCTGTTCAGGCTCCATTTTTTTTCTCCTTCAACACTTTCTCCGCTCACCTTACAGGTGATGGCTAAACAGTTAGTTCATTGTGATAGGAACCATGAGGAGTTTAATTCGTCAAAAATACAACTTACGAACATCAACCGATTTAATATTATATCTCATATATTATTACAGTTTGGTCACCAACCCAGTTGAATTTCTTTATTTGAGAACTTACACAACCGAAAGACAAACTTCAATATAATGCATATTCAAATTTTTCTCCGTCACACTTTGATGGGTGCGTAGCCCAGTGGATAGCGTGGTTCCCTACTATGAGATCTGAACTCGATTTTCAGCAGGATCGATTTGTTTGAGATGAGACTTGCCGTGCAGCATCGTGGCCTAGTTTTCTGGCACGACGCCTGTAAGCCATAGCACGTGTTGACCCCAGCCTTGTGAGTGAAATTCGGTAGACGGAACTATTTATGATTGTGCTAACACGAAGTCTCAACTCATCGTGACCGAGGTTATTCAAACTGTTGATCTCTCTCACAGACTCTAACAAACCTTCGCTCAGCATAGATGTAACATAAACCACAAATAGACTCTGTCGATTTTGAAGAAACATAAATATTTGTCTGCTTCGGGAATAGCCGCCGTAACAGACGACTGGACTCAGAAACAAGCTCTTCAAAACTGATTCCAGTCGTAAAAGAGTTCTAATGCATTGTTTTAAACCAGTCGTCATGGATGAATTTAAGGGGGTTTTTTTCTTCACATTTTCTCTTATTTTGCTGGAAATTGGACACCCTGAACGCTCATCATCTTGAACCGAACTCAAAGATCGAAACAATCGAAGTACTCAAAAATATTTTGGAACTGACGAAAAATTCTGAGTGGCTTGTTAGCATATTTGACGAATCGTGCACAAAAATTGATACCTGAATTTGTCAGCTATCGTAAAGATTGCAGAACCGTTACAAAACGACGTTCCAAATCCTCACATAATAAACAGAACATGGGTAGATAGCAAGATGCTATATAAGAGACCGACTTACTAAGCAGGGTACCAACGATTGTTACCTGTACGCTCGTTTCTGAGGATAGGTACAAGCACATCACGTATAGGACGGGAATTTTCTGATATCACCTGGTATAAGGAATAGGCTTTAGTTTATTGAATATGGTTTTAGCTAAATTTCAAAACTCTGGTAGATAATGAACCATGAAAGCAAAATTTGCAATGGCACATGATTTAATGATGCGGAAAATCGCATCTTTCTCCGCATGATACATATTCAACATGGGTATGCAATAAAGCTTGATTATTTATACAAAGCGCCTATCCTTCCGTCATTTGGTTTTAATAAAATATATTTTGTTTTTGTAGTTGCTCTTTTTCAGCGTTATAATAAATTAATTACTTCTTTCCCCTTCAAGTTCTCTCTTTTTCTCTCCCTCTCTTTCTCTCTCTATCTCTCACATTCTTTCTCTCTCTCTCTCTCTCTCTCTGTGTCTTTCTCTTTCTCTCTCGAAATATATATATATATATATATATATATATATATATAATATATAAACCGAGAAAAATTGTGCATATTTATAGGAGAAAAAGGATTGTAGATATAAACGGCGTGGATATAGGAATCAACAATGCCAGAGGACTATCGGTCATGGGTTCCATTTACAGACAACTGCCTTTAATCCTTCCGTGGCTTATATATAGGACGGACAAAAAGAGTAATGATGCATGGTCGGAAGATCGCTTGAGGCATAAAACTGTCCGTCACCATGCAGTATTGATTCCTATGTTCACTCCCTCCCTCCTCCCTCTCCCTCTCTCTCTATCTCTCTGTATATATATATATATATATATATATATATATATATATATATATATATCTACAGATAGATCAAAAACATCATTTATTAATTTTGGAAGCTTTATGCTTAAAATTATTCCAACCTGTACTATGCAAGCAAAAGGAGAATTTTTTAAAATCCTTGCATTTATTCGGAAATATATGCGATTTATTTTTTTTTTATTTTTTATGCTCCACTGCATAATTTTTTTTATTTATGTATTTTAATCGCTAATTTATTTGTTTGTTTTTTTCTCAATTTTACGTATTTCGTAATTTTAAGCGTCTTTCAGTACTATCTCTTATCAATCCAAATGAGTTAAAAGTTGCCAACGATTGGTCCCTGATGATGCGTTGGCCGAAAGGCAGCCTAGGTCCGGATATAAAAAAAAATGAACATAAAATTATGTTTATTTAAATCAATATTCCTGTTCTGTGGTATCAGGTCTTTGTTTCATTATATATATATATATATATATATATATATATATATATATATATATATATATATATACTCGATTCTCCCCGTCGAATTCGAACGTATGAGGGTCAAGCAGATCAGTTCCTAGGAAACCGACAGCCCGACAACAGCACATGAGATTTCATTATAGTGGTGAAGGTTTCGTGCATGACCATCCACACTTTTTGAAGGGCCAAATACACAGACCTGGTGCACTACGTGCCAAGGTCCCCAAACGACCTTATATATATATATATATATATATATATATATATATATATATATATATATATATATATATATATATATATATATATATACCTTTGGCCAAAATTATGGAGCACCAATGAAAAAAATCGAAATTATGATTCAAACTTATATATTTAAAGGTTAAGAATAGTGGAGTAAACATTAATAACAACAATCAATATTTGGTATGTCCTCCTTTTGCCTTTATAACTGCTTTTATTCGTTTTTGCATATTATTGACTAAGTTGTTGCAGGTGGTAGGATCTATTTTCTGCCAATCTTCATGAAGTTTGGCCTCTAATTCTTTTTGATGAACATTTGTGCATTCTCACTCTTTTCCCTAAATGGGACTACAAAGTTTCAATGGGATTTAGGTCCGGGGATTGAGGGGGCCACTTCATCACTGTAATCCTTTTTTCTCAAACCAACCGATTGAAACTTTTGACGTATGGCATGGAGCATTGCCTCGTTGAAGATTACATCACTTGGAATGTTATTATTAAATATTTTAGTCAAAGAGGTTCGGTAAACCTGGTCCAGCATGTTAGTATAAATTGTGGAGTTCATTCTGCCCTCACATGTGTACAACATTTCAGTGCCTGAAGAAGCCATGCAGCCCCAAACCATTACAATTCCTCCTCCAAATTTTAAAGTTGGAACCACACAATCAGGATGAAATGCCTCTTCTTCCCTACGGCGAACATAAACCGCTCGCAGGGGTGCCAAAAATCTGATGAAAAAAAAAGAATTTGTTACAATTTTTGAATAAATGTTATGGATGTGTATTCACATGAAAATTTCAATTATTACATCCAAAGTTTAGGAAATAGAAGCTGTTAACTTACCTCAAAGTTACTTTCGTCAGACCAAACAATTTTGCCCCAATCATCAGGTGTCCAATTTTCATGTTTTTTTGCGAATTCCAGTCATTTTTTCTTGTTGGTTTGAGACAAGTATGGCTTCTTCCTGGCTTTGCATCCTTTTAATCCCACTTCTAATAACATTCTTCTCACTGTTCGAGCTGATATGTTTTTGTTTGCATCCTCCCTAAGTTCAGCAGCAAGCTCTGAAGAACTTTTCCTCCTATCTGCAAGGGATGCTCTTTTCAAAGATCTGTCTTCCCTGGTGGTTGTAGACTTTTTACGGCCTTGTCCTTTTCTGTTTTTGAAATACTTTCTTTCCTTGTACCTTTTAATCGTTGTTTGAACCCCCTTCCTTGAACATTCCATCTTAGTGGCAATTTCTACCTGAGAATATCCTTCACCAGATAAAGCAACAATTTGTGTTCTTTTAATCTCTGAAAGCTGCTTCTTTGGAGGCATTTTCAATTAAATATACACTGGTAGGAATCAAATATTACCCGAAAATTACGAAACAACCTTTAGTATGACAATAAATCATTTTGAATATTGGAATGAATTTAGTACGAAACTCAGTTAAAGCTCTTGAGAGAGGTTTTAAAGCAAAAATAAATACTACAATCTACTGGTAAATATTTTACATTTGCTCTCAATTGTTCACTGTACGATTCTTAATCTTGAAATACGTAGGTTTAAACTATTATCTCGAATTTTTATAGGTGCTCCATAATTTTGGCCATTGCTGTATATATATATATATATATATTTCTCTGTATATGTATTGTGGTCAACACCCAGCGGCGATACTCTGTTTTTTGCATGTGCAATTTTAATCATTTCTCTAATTTGAATCATTTCACCCCAACCAAGGCGATAATGCCACTAAGAGGCAATGTGTTAATGCGGGTGAAAAAATGAGACGACTTTAGGAGAAGGATCCGGAACAAGAGTCTGCAATAAGGATTCGCTCGCCGCCCTAATAGACGGGTATCCTCGAATACGAGTGGTCAGCTATCATTATTATTATTATTATATATGGTAATAGTGTCCAACGTTCTCCAGATGAAGAGTGTTACCCTATTCAGGGAATAAATTTTCGGTCGCGTTTTTTTTTTTTTTTTTTTTAACCAGGTCACTGATGTTGCCCAAGTGAAAGGCAGATTCCAATACGGCTTGGCACCGGCGTGGTCACAGAAGTTGCCAGAACGAAACTAAATAAGACATTTGAACTGTCCTATAGACCCCGGCTCCAGATTTGAATTCAGAATTGTCCTCCTTTTAATCTGGTTGCAAACCATGGTTACGGAGCCCAAACTGACCTACAGACATAGGTTTGGAATTCAGAGTCATTCTTTCTCCTAGACAGGTTGCCACTCAAGGCTATAAAACCCTGTCTATCCTGCTGTTTATCCATAGCTGGGAGAGAAAAGATGGATCCATACATTTCCCAAGGGTATTAGCACGTAAGTATAATGAATTCGACTGAAATTCGAACACGACTCTCCGATTCCTCAAACTGAGCCGCTATCCCCAGCATGCCTCCACTTAATCTCTTGACCACGAAGTAAGTGTATGCAATGAACTCGACTAAAATTCGAACTCAGTCTAAGCTGCCATCCTTTACGCTACTGCTCCCCCATACAATAAGCAGGCCCTTTTAAAAACGTAAAAGTGAAATATGCGATACAGTATCTGTTATGTTGTCGTGTTCTTCACAGATATCATTCAATGAACAACGTGTAGAAACAATGCCAAGCGGGTCTTCTACAAGCCTTCGGCAGTCACTGGCCAAATGTATTTCTTATAATAAACTACCAGCTTCGCCATATTTTTATCAAAATGAATTTTACAGAATATAATTGAGATTCTTTTGTATTCTTCCTATACGCTTCTTGCCGTAATTATTTATTCCTTTCTCTTTCTTCCATTCTCTCTTTCTTCCTTTTTCTCTTTCTTCCTTTTTCTCTTCCTTCTCTTTTCCTTTCTTTCTTTCCATTCCCATTTCCTTCTATTCTTCTTTCTGTGCCATATATCCTCAAGTTGTAGACGATCATGGCTCTCCCCAATTTCTTGTCCTTTTTAGTTCTTTATAAATTTTGTCTTTTTGTTATTTCTTCTCAATTTGCTGCTAGTATAGCTTCTTGATAAGTCTAATATCCTTCCCAAACATGTCAAGGTTGCTAAGCAGTTCCAACAGATCTTTGTGGCGTACTTTATTGAACACTTTTGCATAATCTATAGAACACAGCTACACGTCTTTCTGTATTTGTATTGCTCTTTCTGACAACATCCTGAGCATAAATATTGAGTTCCTTGTTCTGATGTCTTTGACGAAAACCGCACTATTCTTGCTACTGGTTACCTTAACATTTGGAATTTTTTTCTTTCTTTTAATTTCGTTGGTTCACAAAAGGTAAAACTATTTTTTGCTTCCTGAAAAGCAATAAGAAATCATCGCTGTGAGACTACAACTTAAAATAATTCTGATAGGCAGTTTTTGACATCACCTTGATAACTATCGCTGAGTACAAAGTGTATCTACTTGGATATCCCCATCTTATAATCTATCTCCTTTATAAATATATAGATAGAGAGTGAAGCAGAGATACCTCCCACATATACCTCCCAGAATTACTTCCCACATGATGATAAGGGTTTAGTGAAAATGGTGTCTTCTTCTAGAAAATTCCTTACCATTGTGTCGGAAGTATTTGGGTGGGGGTATATCTGGGAGGTATTTCTGCCGCATCCTGTAAAATTAACGGAGGGACACACACACACACACACACACACACACACACACACACACACACACACACACAAACAAACACAATCATGTTTCATTCTTTCTTTTACCAAGAGCGGAGATAAGGAGTTAATATTTGTTAAGGGTGTATAACGAAACAGGTGTCACTAAATCAATTAAAAGCTAACATTTAAAAAAAACACAAAACAATCTCTTGGTGTCCTTCTCTCTCTCTCTCTCTCTCTCTCTCTCTCTCTCTCTGCATCACAGTATCTTTTTTTATACCTTTGTCTTCACACAACACACATATATGTGTGTGCGTGTGTATGGTCTCCTACTTAATTCCTCCTTCTTAAGATGAATTACCATCCAATGTCCCAGCAAGGCTTGCAATTTATTCCATGGGGGGAGGGGAGGAGAGATTGATTCATACATTTTCAAAGGTTATTTGCGCGTATGTGAATGTAACACACTCGACTAAAACTCGAAATCGGCTCTCCGACTCCACATTCTGAGCCACTATACATTACACCACCGCGCATCTATACACAAACACACGCAAACACACACGTAGAAAATATGAGCTCTCCGACAGGATTTGAATCAGTTAGCTTCATGGGAACCGTCATTTGGCCTAAGCAGAAAAAGGATCGATCGAGAAAAATTGTCGAAGGTGTGTGTTTAGAAACAGTAATTCAGACTCTGTGACTGAATGTTTAACAGCAAGTCAGTACAAATGACGGTTCCAATAAGGGTTACAGGTACGATTCCTGTTGGAGAGTGTATATTTTCTACGAAATTTCTCAAACAGTTTAGCCGGTAAAAGTAATTAATACTGTTTAATTAATTAAAAAATAGAGCATTTATTATAAATAAAAGTATCAACAGTATATATAGATATATACTATCATTCACTGACTGTTTTGCTGCATCCCAGCTCATCAGCGTAGATAGACATCCGATGACCTCAAGCAAGGATCGAAACCCGACCGATCTGGCATCAGTCGGAGATTTTTCTCCTAAGCTATCAGAAAGTTACATCAAGAGTTGTCAGTCGTAGGATGCAAAGACAGTTGTTTTCACTATTTTTTCTTCCTTTCTACACACACACACACACACACACACACATACATATACATATATATATATATATATATATATATATATATATATATATATATATATATATATATATATATAGGATGTGTTTGTGTGTGGGGGGTTCAGTAATTGGATGTATATACATATATGTGCGTGTATTTGTGTGTGCATATGCATTTCATTATTTTCTTCTTCCTTTCTATATATATCTGTGTTTGTATTTGTAAATGGGTTTTTTATTTTATGTATATATGTGTCGGAGGGTATGTATGTATGTATATATATATATATATATATATATATATATATATATATATATATATATATGTGGGGGGTGAATGTATATATATATATATGTGTGGGTAGGTGGATGTATATATGTGTGTGGTGGATATATATATATATATATATATATATATATATCACCATATCACCTAACTATCTACATCTTTAAGCCTTCCCATCCTAAACACCTCAAAGAGAACATTCCCTATTCACAAGCACTTAGACTCAAAAGGATAAGTTCCAACAATGAAGAATTAAATAAACACATTGAAAATCTGGAGCATCAATTCACAACACGTGGCTATAAACAACACCTAATCAGGAAACAAATAAAAAAAGCAATTTCCACACCTAGAGAAGACACCCTAATGTACAAGATTAAAAATAAATCTAGCCGCATTCCTCTAGTAACCACTTTCAACTCCACTCTGCCTCAACTATCCCAAATAATCAAAAGTCGCTAGGAAATATTACATCTCAAACCACATCTTAAAAAAATTGTTTAAAGAACCCGGCATTCTTGCATACCTAAGAACCTAAAAGAAATCATAGGTAGTAACCACATTTCAGGGGACAAGGTAATCTGTAATAAACTAAGAACAAAAACAACAGGATTTTCCCAACCATGTAACAACAAAAGAAATGTATGTTGCAACCATATTAAACACACGAATTCATTCACTAGCTCAATCACTAAATCTACTTTCAAAACCTACACGATTCTAACTGTAGAAGTCATAACATAATTTACCTCCTAGAATGCACACTATGCCAGAAACAATATGTAGGAAAATCTGAATGGCTCTATCACTACAGAATTAATAATTCCCCATGAAAATTATTATCTGTAGAACAACATTTCCGCCTGGAAAAACACGATTTCAAAACCCATGCCAAATTCACTATAATTGAGAGAATAGAAAAGTTCAGAACAGATAACATTAGAAAGATTTTAGAGTTCCATGAAAATAAGTGGATACAACGTCTAAAAACAAAATATCCAACCGGGCTAAACCATAAGTTTAACAATATAGATAGTATAAATATATAACCTTAACAAATCAAAACCTACCCACATTTCTCACCCACAAAGACAGACATGCTTACGGAGGTGTGGGGCCTCACACTTATACACACACACGAATATATACACACTTACACACATCATACTCACTCACTCCCTAATGAGCCAAATGATAGCACACACCCACAGCAATACACACGCTTACACATATCATACTCACTCACACCCTAAGAACCAAATAACACACACACAAACACTAAATAGATACACATCCCCTCTCCAGGACCAATAAAACTGTCAAACTGACCAAAGGAATTCAGAGAAGCATAGATCCATCCAGCTCTTATCTCAAATAACAACTTAAAAGAGACTGTTTGACCAACACAAGGAATGATAAAAGATTCATGTTAAAAAGATAAAAAAATAAAAAAAGAAATGAAAACTACAGACAAAAGTTCATTTTCTGCATCAAGACATTCCTTTCTGTAGTTCACTGCTACCAGCAAGCAGAAATATTTCTTCTCCCGATGATGGCCATTTTAGCCGAAACTAGTCGAGGAATCTAAATGAAATAATAATAAAAAAAAAAAATACGAAAGAATATTAATCTACAACCCAGTGTGTCTGAAGATTTTAATTTTTTATAATATATATATATATATATATATATATATATATATATATGCGAGTGTGGATATATATGTGTGTGTATGGTAGTGATTGGATGTATGTACATATATATCTGTGTGTATGTGTATACATTTCACAATTTTCTTCTTCCTCTCTACTATACATATATATATGTGTGTGTGTGTATTCAAATTCTGCTGAATAAAAAATAAAACTTTGTAGTCACTGTATATATATATTGCAGACACCACCAAATATACGCCTTAAAAAATTAGTAATTTATAAACGGATAGAATAAAAATTTACAATAGAAATTAAATCCTGAAATATATTTTTTAAAAATTCCACAATACCATATAAAATCTATTAGCAAATTCAATTAATTTCAGACACGCATAAAATTATAGAATTAAAAATACAACCCGATCATATCTAAACACCTCTTTAAGAAACTATCAACGAAAAATAAAATAAATAAAAACACCAAAAATGACTGTAACTAGAACATCAATCAGTAAGAGATTTAACAGACAGTAATAAAACAACAGAGCCTGATAGAAAAGGCCATCGTAGCTAGACAGAAATCACCCAACCCAACCTTACACGACTGCAAAAAATTGACATATAATAAACATTCTAACTTTCATTAAAGCAGAGACCCCTTGATAATGAAAGAGAAACCCCAGATTACACCTCCATTTCCAAACTATGAGTAAATCATTTCTTCGGTTAGTTATTCTAAACATCGCTTGAGAATGAAACTTTGCTCTAAATTTTAAGTTTAATTTTGAAATTAAACTTTAAGACTTGAGTTTCAGTTTTGAAACAGTAATTTCTGTGTCTCGATGGAATTATATATATTTTTAAAATAATTATAATAAGTTTAAGCTCTACTTCTGTATCGAGCACTGTTTTTTTTTAATAAAATACTAAAAAATTTGGATTATTAATCTGTCTGTTCTTTCCTATAACATCAATACACAGACACACACACACACACACACACACACATTATATATATATATATATATATATATATATATATATATATATATATAAAGCTTAGACAGGGTTAACAATAAAAATATGTATCAACATGGTGATTTTTCTTCGCGTTTCAGCGATAGTGCTAAAAAGCTTATTTGACAATATGAAAGGAATTTACTTAAAATAAATAGACAAAACTTATCTATATTATTTAATGAAACATTCATTACTGAAATATATATAAATTATATATTACTTTTGTTCTTGAATAGGTGTTGAATTAAAGCGTCCACAAGACTACCAGGGTACCTTAATTCAAGATCTATACAAGAACAAAGGTAATAGAAATATTTGTGACAACCATCGTAGAATATCTCTACTGTCATTTGCTGATAAAATATTAGATAAACTGATTCTGAACAGGATTACCAAGCACGTCATCAATGAGATTTACCCGGAATCACAGGTTTCAGGTCCGGTCATGACACTATTGACATGTTCTTCTCACTCCGTCAGGTAGTTGAAAAATCACGAGAAAAGAACCAAGAGTTGTATACGGTATTTGTTGACCTTACTAATGCCTTCGAGACTGTAAATCGTGAAGCGCTCTGGAAAGTTCTTGAAATGCTTGGCATCCCTGACAAAATGATGACTGTTTTAATCTCCTTTCAAGAGTGAATGAAAGCTGCTGTGATTTCCAATGGGGAATTCTCTGATTTCTTTCATGTCATAAATGGCACGTAGCAAGGTTTTGTCATGGCCCGTGTTCTCTTTGCACTCTTCTTCTCAGTAATGCCCAAATATGCCGTTGGTGACATGGACACTGGTTTTAAATTTCAATTTTGAACCAATGATGACCTTTTCAACCATCAGCGATTCAAAGCTAAAACAATTCTTCGAACTGGCGTCATTCGTGATCTGCTGTTTGCTGCTGCTGCTGCACTTGTGACAAAATCCCTAGAAGAAATCCAAGAACTAGTCAACTGCTTATCTGCTGCAGGCAAAGCTTTTGGTCATACTATTAGCAAAAGATAACAGCGGTAATCCGCCAGCTGCTATATTCTCCAAAGCAGATTCAGGGTTTCAGACAACCTCCACCAGCTCATCAATTCCCAGACACTCCTATACAGATTGATGGCAAGTACTTGCACTATGTGAAGCCATTTATATATTTAGGAAGTAAGATAAATGCAACAGTATCCCTTGATGACTAAATAACAAATCGCACTGCCAACGCTACAGTTGCATTTGGGAAGCTTCGCCTATGGAATGAGAGGTTATCAACTGGGGCACCAAAATACGAAATTATAGAGCGGCCATTTTGACCACATTGTTGTGTGGCTTGGATTCGTGGATCCCATTTTGGTTTCATATCAATCAACTGCATGCCTTCCACAAAATGTGTCTTCGCGTGATGATCCTTGTTTTGTTTTTTTTTAATTATAATTTTACCAAAAACAAAATAACTTCTATGCCTGGTGATGACTGGATGTACAGTCGAAAGTACTTGCGTATTTAAGGAAAACCTAATAAAGTTTATCATTTTCAAAAAAACAAGGATCATAACATTTATCGAGTGATTAGTACGTTAACGAATCTTTAAAATTTAGTTAGCGAAGGGATTTCGCCATTTTATATTATTAACTTTACTAATTTATTTTTGTATGAATGATTCATTGTAATATATATATACATATATATATATTAAAAAAGATATATTGTAATGGATATTATTGAGAAAAAATATTATACTTTGTTTTACATAATTTCACGACACGTGTTTCTGGTCTGGTCTCGCAACCGTCTTCAGGTGAAAGTGGAGATTTTTACATATTAAAAATAATTAATTTTTCTTCATGTTCAATGTGGAAAGAAATGTTCAATTCTAGACAGAAAATTCGGATTGCCAATAAAACAGAATGTCTCATATCGAGAATATATAATATTTTTCTCAATAAATCCACATTACAACCAAAAAACGTTTTTTTTTTTAATATACATACTTTTCTCTCGTTGGAACCACTACAACATATTTCTTTTATATATATATATATATATTATATCTGTGTCTTATCAATCACTTGATAAGACACCGAGGGTATTGAAACAAAATGGCTATTTTGTAGTGATTTTATAACATATTTATGTTATAAATTTTATTTTTTATATATAAAAAATAATTATATCTGCTCTACTTTGTATTGAGCAATCTTTTAAGAATAGTAATTGTTGGTTATTGGAATTCATTCCGTATACACCAATTATATACTTAGGTATATATATATATATATATATAAGTTATGGGATCTTACCCATAATAATAATAATAATGGACTATTCCATAATAAATACTGCGCCTCAGGAGTAGGCAAGGAGTCAGTAGTTCAAGTCGAGTCAGTAGTTCAAGTCAAGTCAAGAGTCGAGTCAGAGGCAGTCCGAAGCAGAGTCGCATTCAGACAATTACTGCTAGACATTGGAATAGTGATACTGGTCGAGACTACATTGTTCTCTCGACTAAACCTGATTATTCATACTAACACTTCTACTTCTTTATATATATTCCTGTTTGTAATATATCTGTGTTATTCCATACCTGTGTTCGCGTTCTTTATTGTTTCTACCTTGGACTATCACCGTGGTACAAGGAACCGGGCCATAACACGTATATATATAATTGAATAATGCAGCTTAATTAATATTGTAAAATAGCCATTCAAAGAATAAATCAATAAAGATAATGTAATTAATGGCAAATTCACTTCGCTAACAGATGAAAAAGTCATTAACTCACTGACCACTTGCTACATATTTCTGTGTTTTTTGGATAGTAATGTATCCTGATAGATTACATTGGGCAATAGGCAGTTAGCCTTTAGAAGGCATTCTTGCAGTGGGCAATTATACGAATTTCAAATGTACTATGTGTTACAATACACTCATTGCTTTCTTTTTCTCTCCTGCCGTTATATTTCTGTGTTTTAATGTAAATTACCCTTTGATATATAAACATTTTGATGTTAATGTTTTCGTAAGTTCTACCTACGATAACACGAAACACATAAATAACTAATACATGCTGAAAAAACTCAATCTAAGCCACTTCTCAAAATCTGATTAAAATAATGCCATACTTATTAAAAAAGAAATTAACTTAAAACGAAAATCCTCAAAAGTACTGCTATTGTATCCTATCAAAATATATATCTGAGTCCCGTATAATTCCCAATATCTCCTTTCCTGAAAGAATTACTACTCTCCCGAGACAAGGTACATGACCAGAAAAAAAAGATTAAATGAAAACGGTTAAATACATAAACTCGTGTTATTCAAAACTTATAAAAAGGTAAATCAATCCCAATAAAAAATAATTTAATTTTTTTCAATAAAAAATAATTTAAATACTAATTTACATATTTATACATACAAATATAAAATCTCCTAATCGCTTTCATTTATTAAGGATTGAAGTGTATCACATCATTTCCATGAACTTGCCTGACTTTTCCTCTAACTTGATGAATATTCATGAGCACCGCTATACCAAAAACATTGAAAAGTCAGTAAGATTTTTGCTCTTGTATATAAATACTTGTCACAAAATAAAATCCTTACATTTGCCTTGATAAAGTTCCTCAGGGGACTAAACGCGTCGGCTAAGATAAGGTTTCCTTTTGTCTTTGTTCATTTTGTCCTTTTACAGATATACTCTAAAATATTTACACATACACACACACACACACATATCTGTGTGTATGTGTATATATCTCATTTATACGTAAATAATATATATATATTTATATATATAATATATATATATATATATATATATATATATATATATATATATATACATACATTCCTCGTTTGTGCATACATTCATTCTTCATAGCTACTTATATATACATATATATTTACTCACATACATTTATATACACCATATATATATATATATATATATATATATATATATATATATATTCCTTATATAGATATTGAAAGGATATAGGTTCTTTCAATATTTTTTGTCCGATATCAACACTTACTTTTTCTCAACACTTCGTTTTCGATTTTTTTCGTATCTATTTTCAAAATTATTATTCGCTCCCACTCTCTCTCTCTCTCTCCCTCTCTTCTTGTTGAATGTAACTTCCTTTGCTCTTTCTTTCTCATCTTCCTTGCCTCACACACACGCCCATATACGCACACATATACTCACTTGCAAACAAACAGAGAAATATTCTTACACATTTTTGTTCCTGTTTTGTCTGATCAAATTTTTCTTGTCTACAAATATCTCCTTGCCGTGTTCACGCCTCTGTCTCTTGGGTAAGAACTTTACGTTCACACCTCATTATTTTCTTCTACGCTTATTTCTTTGATTCCTTTTCGCAAACCTTTCTTCCTGCTAGTTGCACCAAGTATTGTTGTATTCATTTATTTTTCTTCACTATTTTTTTAGATTCCTCCTTAAGCCTTCGCTTGGCTTCTTCTTTTTTTTTTTTCTTGCTTTTCATCACTCAAAGAGTTCTTTTTTATACTCTTTCTTTTATCACTTTTAATTTTAAACTTTCTTGCTTTTCCTTTCGTTTCCCTGTCTCGTTCTATCTCTTATGATCTGCCAATTATTTATATTTTACATCTATCACTGTCATAATATCTTTCGATTTTGCCATACCAATTCTCCTGGTTTCCCTTTCATTATTCCCACATCTATCTATCTATCTATCTATCTATATATATATATATATATATATATATATATATATATATATATATATATATATATAAATTAATATCTATTTATCCGTCTCATTCCATTTTTATTTTCTAGTAAACCGTCGTCGTATCTCATTCAATCTCCATTCTTCATATCTATCTGTCCAGTCTGTCTGTCTGTCGATCCCTCTCTCTCTCTCTCTCTATATATATATATATATATATATATGTGTGTGTGTGTGTGTGTGTGTGTATAACTGTCATATATACCGTAAATATAATTGACTTTTGAAAAAAATAGAAATTGAGACGTTATATCTATCTATCTATCTATATATATATATGTGTGTGTGTGTGTTTGTGTGTGTGTCTTTTGTAAGTATATCAGCCTCTTTATTCATTTATTTAATACACTATACCTTTTGTACTGTATTATCTACTATGGTAATACCTACTTTCACTTTCATTCCTCTGTTTCTCTTTGTCTATTTTACACTCACTCTCCCCAACTTCTTTTCTCTTTCTATCTTTCTTTCTGTCACGCTTTCCCCTATTTACCTATTTTTGCCGCCTATGTTTCTCATACTGTGTCCTTCTAAAGAATAATATCAATTTTTCTACTTTCACTTTCACTTTTATCCATTTTTTTTTTTTTTTTTTGCTTTTTTCCTAATCTAGGTTTAATTTATGGCCTCGCTGGCTTTTTAAAGCAATTTCTTTCCATCTTTACCTATCATTCTTCTCCTACCAAACTTTTCCTGACTTTTCTCATCAGCTAACTTTCCCTTATTTTCACTTTCATTTTCCCACAATACCTCTCTCTCCCCCCCCCTCTCTCTCTCTCTCTCCCTCACTCACTCAATCAATCTATCTATCTATTTCTGTCTTTTTATCTATGTATCTTTTCCCTTTATCCGCCTCCCCAATTTTCCCGCGTCACTATCGTTCTGCAACATTGATTTTTGTAAGGTTTGCTCCCGTGGGAAGTGTCTATGTGAAGCGACCAGATTCGCCAGACATTCTCAGCTTATTTCACGCTGGGTGGATATACTGCTCGGAAAAGAAAGGAAAGAAGAAGAAAAAGAGGAAATAAATAAATAAATAAATGGATGTGTCGTGCGCCGAGAGGGGGGTGAGGTAATAGGAAACGACCGTGTGCACGCGCATATAGGGATACAGTGGCGCAAAAAAAATACTGTAGAGGCTGGTAAATTCTCACACGCCCTGGGAATAGAACGTGAAATAACACTGGAATAGCCAGTTTGCATGTGTATAGGTGTGGACAGGTCATATTTAGTGGCATGCATATCCACCCCTACATACATACGATGATATACACACATCAAACTACGTATATAAACACGCACATACACACCACGCACACCCACAAACACACACATATTTATATATATATATATATAAGAAATGTATATATGGGGAGCATACGAATCAATAAATATCTCACATGTTGAAATATTATCTAAAATAATTATTGGGTATTGTTAGTTCTTCCTCACTAATAATCACTACAATGACATTGACAAAGAAGAGGATTATGTTGAAAATATATTTTGTATAAAATAAATCTCTCTTCATGATCTTGTTGCAGGTCACCTCTAAGTCGTGTAATGGTTAAGAAGCTTGTCTTACTAGATCAATTACTACTGAGCAGTGAGTTCGATCCTTACCGGGTGTTTCATATTTTTGGCCTTTTATATATATATATATATATATAAATTTATATATATAGCATATATATTAAAATCAAGGATCATAACATTCATCGAGTGATTGCTAGGTTAATGCATCTTTAAAATTTTGTTAGCGAAGGGATTTCGCCATTTTATATCATTATCTTTACTAAGTTACTTTTTGTATGAATGATTCATTGTAATATAAATTGAACTACACTACATATTTGATTTAAAGGAACTGACCCGACGTGCAAATTTTCGGGATACCAACTGAGACATTACTCTATTTATTGAACAATTTAGTTCATGCCACATTGACAGATAAACTCCTACAATAAATAATTCTCAAATTGCAATATTAGTAAAAAAAAGAAAAAAAAAAGACTCACTTAAAATTTTAAAAACGTTCAAACCTTAGCGTTGCGACAGCACGCTCCAAACGTTAATATCCGTTATCATTAACACATTTAAAAAAAAAAAAAAAAAAAAAAACATATTTCGATTCGCATTATATTTTTTCATCTCGGATGCTACTTGAATTTTACCAAAGACAAAATAATTTCCATGCCTAAAGATGACTGAATTCACAGTCGAAAGTACTTGCATATTTAAGAAAGACCTAATACATTTTATAATTTTAAAAATAAGGATCATAACATTCATCGAGTGATTGGTAGGTTAATTTATCTTTTAAATTGTGTTAGCGAAGGGATTTCGCCATTTTATATCATTGACTTTACAAATTTACTTTTTGTATGAACGATTCATCGTAATATATATATATATATATATATATATATATATATATATATATATATATATATATATTCGAGGTACATCAGTATATATGTTTATGTGTGTGTGTGCAAGGACATAGGTCTCTTTTGCGTTTGACTGTTCAATTATAGTGAGGTTTCTACTCGTAGTGAGAATTGAGCACAAATTGATATGTTGTGAGGCATATTGCACCGATTGGTGAGGAACTCTTGGGTGCTGGGATGAGGTCGAACTCGACAAACATTTGAAACTGTAATTATACATTTTGCCCGGTCAAATAACAAATATAACAAATATTGGGATGTATAGAATTTTCTGCGAGTAAGATAGATATCGAGTTTTAGATGGTATGACAAGAAGAAGAAGAAAAAAAACACGTTTATTGATCACGTGTTGGGAATAGAACTTCTTTTCAGTTGCTTGTAAAACTAGCAGGCAATCATTATGACGACGTCTCGTTCATGGAGACCTGGAAGGAAGCTCATTTGTATAGCTAGACAGATTCGACGGGCATGAATAGATGAAAGAAAGACCTTGTGTGAAAGGGTGATTGATATAGGCATTCACATTTACATAGACATGAAAGAACTTAGAGAGCTACATACATATATAAAGCTTGAAATAGATAGATAAACTGAGGCAAACGTAGAGAGAAGTAGACAATGACATAAAATTAACGCCTCAACCGGAGCTAAATATAACGACATATGATTTCAATAAAACTTTAGGGAAAATAGAATAAATGCAGAAGAGCATGGCTAAATTAATAGAGAGAGAGAGAGGGACAATAATGACTATATAATCAGAGTAACTATATAAAGAAATAGTGTCAATAGTGATTATATATAGAGAGTGTTTCAATAATGAATATATACATAGAGAGAGTGTGTCAATAGTGACCATATTTATAGAGGGAGAGTGCCAATAGTAACTATATATATATATATATATATATATATAGAGAGAGAGAGAGAGAGAGAGAGAGTTGTAGCATACCTACGGACGATAATGGGTATGTTCTCTTTCGCATAAATACAGTAATAAATGCTGTATGTTGTTGGTCTGCAGTTGTAGATTCATTGTGGAATTCACTTGACTCACTTCTAGCAGTTGATTACTTCTACGCGCCGCTGGCGAATCTTATATGTGTTGTTCTTGTCCTAAGTATTATCGTTCATTACTAACCTTTGTATGATTATTCTATTCAGTAACCTTCCCTCGGTTACAATACAGAGAGAGAGATAATATGTCAATAGTGACCATATACAGAGAGAAAGTGCGTCAATAGTGACTATATAGAGAGAGAGTGTCAATAGTCTCAATATATATATATATATATATATATATATATATATAGAGAGAGAGAGAGAGAGAGAAAGAGTGTCAATAGTGTTTATATATATAGAGAGAATGTATTATGAGATGGACTAAGTTCGACAATTATTTTAACATATTTTCTGTTTATACGTTATTTTTATCGATACACTTATTTAAATTAATGCTCTGTTTATATTAAACATTATTAATTACATTTACCAGCCTGAATGTCCAAAACATTTCGGAGAAAATATGTGTCCTCCGATCGTGGGAATTTTTTGTTTAAAAACAGTGGTTTGAAGTTTGCTAGCCAGACGCTTCCTCTGTAGCTAAATGTTATAGCAGGTCAGGTCAAATGACGGTTCCATGTAAGATACAGGTTTAATTACTATCAGAGTACACATATTTTCTACGAAATTTGTCAGACATTGTAAATCGCAGAGTACATGAGGTTAGTACTCTGCGATTTACAATTAACGATGTTAACGTCAGGGGAGGTAACTAAGTCTTGAAAGATTCATGTTTTTGATTTGGTTTTTAAACTATTACTTAAAACCTAGATATTTTAAACTATTTCTACTATAGAATATTTTAAATCACTTTAGTCAGGATACTGAAAGTAACATCAATCAGCTCAGCGACAAATTTTACTCACATTTATCATCTCTCTCTCTCTCTCTCTCTATATATATATATATATATATATATATATTACCGCAAAAAAACAAAATTAGCTCATATGGGTATATTCTATTTCAAGCTGGTCTTACACCAGCCGTTTTCAGCCCTTAAATGTCTGTCTGGAATTGGGGTTTTGAATTTATTTTCGATATCAGTCCTCCTCTGAGAGACGCATTGTTTTTTATATGGGGATTGTGTTGTTGACTGGGGAAGGGCGTAAGGTATCTTATTACGAGGAAGTGGTCGAAGTTTATTTATGGCTTTCGTTGTCTGTAAATAAATTTCGTTTCCTACTATTTATTTAGTTCGAATTTTGAAAAAATCTGGACAGCTACTCACTTCAGTTGAATAACAGCATAACGGGGGCTGAGTCCGGTAGCGCCTAGGTGATCCTTGCAGTGATATATTTGTTTTGTTTTTTATATAGTAGTAGAGAGGTTCGCTTAATGCCAGGTTCACATTACTCCCCGAATTTTTTTTAACAGGAGTAGGGGTTTATCACTTGCTTCCTGTTTAAGGCTAGATTTCCGGTTCCTTCTAAAGTATGTTCTTCCCTTTCACTTTCAGTAGACCCTTGCGTCTTAGTGACATTACCGCATTTCTTGGGGGGGGTTGTTTTAAAAAAAAAAGCTGCAGGGAATTTAATGAAGTCTGCAACAACTTCGAGATATCTTTTTTAATATAGTTCATCGCAAGCAAGGCAGTAAAGCCACTAAGACACAAGATGTTGATGGGTGAAGAATTACGAAACAGAAACATTACTAAGGAACGAGAACAAAAGAAGATAGATTTTGAAGATTAATGTTGGCTGGAAAGCATGAAGCCAGAAGGGAGTTCCACAAGTGAGAAGGGCAAGAAAAGTAACTGCTAACATAGAACGTACGGATACATCAAGCCAATTCAACTGTAAATAAGATAAGACCACGTTAACAGTCTAGTACTGCGTTTCAATTGATAAAGCCTAGGTAGCATAGCGAAGAGCTCATCCGGGCAGTTACCATGAAAATATTTCTAGAAAAGGCAACTTTACAGCGGTTAGAAAGTGATTGAAGCCGAGGCGCCAGATCAGGACAAATAATATTGCCGATTCTTCTCTGGATTTTATCAAGAATCTCTTGAAATATAGCAGGAGCACCGGACCATATAAAGCAGCAATATTCTAAGCATGAAAGAATGGTAGACTTATAAATATGTAAGATAGATTCTCGAGAGAAAAATTGCCTGCCACAACACAGAGAGCCGCTTGTGAAATCTCGCGATGAAATATCTGAAAGTCAGGTGATTCTCCCTGGAACCATTTTTCGATGACTTGTGCACGATACGAGATTTCTTCATTTTGACAGATTAATCATCACAAGAAAACAGGCCGAGTATATAGGAGTAAAAATAGGCTGCCATATCTCTGAGTATGTCCCACTTGTCAAGTGGGACATTTTTTACCATAGTGATCCTTGTAAGCTCCAGTAGACCACACCCAAGCTATTATTGATCAATCAGCAGCTTTCACAAGATCGCACAGAAAAGCTGGATTCATAGTGTCTCCACCGCACATAAAATTGACTGTCAGCCTAAAATTGCTAGTGTCTATGGTCACTCAGCCTTCCTCAGTTGAAAAGCTGTTTTC